TATATAAAATCAGTTGGGATACATACATACCAGGCATGCAAGGGGTAGTTCAACATTAGAAAATCAATCCACAAAATTCAACACATAAACAAAACAAAGGAAAAGAATCACACAATCATCTCAATTGATGCAGAAAAAGCATTTGATAAAATCCAACACTCTTTCCTGATAAAAACTCCCAGCAAAATAGAAATAGAAGTGAAATTCTTTGACATAATTAAGGGCATATATGCAAAAACAACAGCCCACCTTTTTCTCAAAGGAGAGAGATTGAAAGCATTCCCCTTGAGAATGAGAATGAGACAAGGATGCCAATTATCACGACTTATTCAATATTGAACTGGAAGTCCTTGCCAGAGCAGTAAGGCAAGAAAAGGAAATAAAGGGTATTCGAAGTGGTAAGGAAGAAGTAAAACTATTCCTATTCACAGATGCCATGATCCTATACATAGAAAATGCCAGAGATTCCACAAGAAAGTTACTGGAATGTGGTGTAGTAAATTACCTGGTACAGCTTTTCTAGCCATAATCTTTGTAACTCTCACTTTGCCATGAGTATCTGATTAGCTGATTGCTGAAGTTATCCACCTGGTGTATTTCTGTTGAACCAGCACAAAGCAATCTTCTGGGAAGTTTGCTCTCTCTCAGGTGTATAGAATTCTGATGTTGGGATTGGTTAGTTTGGCCACTCTGTCAGGCTAAAAAGAAGCCCTCCTAGAGGCAGAAGGAGTCTCTCACTAACAGCTGAAAGACACTCTGCTGAGAGGGATGCACTTGCTGAGACAGAGAGACACAAGAGACATGCACTTTTGAAAGAGATGCGAGAGCCATGCTACTGAGAGAGACAGCCAGCTGCAAGAGATTGAGTGTGTTCCTGCTGACCTTGAATTGTAGCCTGTTGCTTCCCTAATAAACCCCATAATCTGTGAGTTCTGTGTGGCTACTGCAGCGAATTATCAAACCCAGCAGAGAGATGGTAGATGCCACAGGAGGAATGGTTGGTGTCAAGGTTAATAAGAGGGCTGGAGGTTGGCAGCATGTCTGGCCTCATAGGAGTAGGCCTTGGGCTGCTGATGGTGATTCTGTCTTCCTCTTGTGGAGTTAGAGGAGGTCAGACAATGCCACCTCCCTGCCCCTTTGGCACCGAACTAATAGAAGGCTTCAGTAAAGTGGCAGAGTAAAGATCAACATATGAAAATCAGTTGGGTTCCTCCACACTAATAAGGAAAACTCAAAAAAGAAATCAAGAAAACAATACAATTTACAATAATCATCAAAAATATAAAATACTTAGGAATAAATCTAACCAGGGACATAAAAGATTTATACAAGGAAAACCACAAAACATTACGGCAAGAAACCAAAAGAGACCTACATAAATGGAAAAATATTCCCTGATCATAGATTGGAAGACCAAACATTGTGAAGATGTCAATACTACCCAAAGCAATGTATAAAAATAATGGAATGATGATCTAAATCCAAACAGTATTATTTAATGAAAAGAAAAAAATGAATCTCCAACTTTATATGGAAAGGAAAAAGATCCTGAATAGCTAAAGCTATTCAAAGAAGAAGAAAGTAGAAGGCCTCACATTTCATGATCTCAGAAATTACTGTACAGTCACAGTAATCAAAACAGCTTGGTATTGGTACAATGACAGAAAAATAGACCAATGGGACAGAATTGAGAAGTACATCCATCCATCTATGAAGAGCTGATCTTTGATAAAGGGTCGAAGTCCATTCAATGGGGAAAAGGTAGTATCTTTAACAAATGATGCTGACAAAACTGAATATCTCTTTGAAGAAAAATGAAACAGGATCTATAGCTCACATCATACACAAACACTAACTCAAAATGGATTAAAGATCTGAACGTTAAAACTAAAACTATAAAGTTTCTGGGAGATAACGGAGGGACAAAGCTAGGGCTCCTAATTTTTGGCATAAATACATTATCAAACACAGGTAAAGATGCATGAACAACAGAAATACACTAGGTAACCGTGACCTCCTAAAAATTAAAGACTGATGTTCATCAAAAGACTTCACAAAAGAGTGAGAAGAAAACTTACAGACTGGGAAAACATTTTTGATAACAGCATATCTGGCAAAGGTCTAATCTCTAAAATGTATAGAAAATTCCAACAACAAAAAGACAAAGAATTCAATTTTTTTAAAAAAAATGGGCAAAGGACATGAACAGACACTTCATCAAAGAGGACATTAAGGAATCTAACAAACAGGGGAGAGCTCCAGTAGCATAGTGCCTAAGGCACTTGACTGCTAACCAGAAGGCTGGCGGTTCAAACCCACCAGCCACTCCTCGGAAGGAAGACTGGGCAATCCTACTTCCGTAGTGATACTGCCTCGGAAACCCAAGGAGGGGTCGCTATGAGTCGGGGCCGACTCGACGGCATATAACAACAACAACATCAACAACAAACATGTGGAGAGCTCTGGTAGTGTAGTGCTTAAGGCACTTGACTGCTAACCAGAAGGCTGGTGGTTCAAACCCACCAGCCACTCCTCGGAAGGAAGACTGGGCAATCTACTTCCGTAGTGATACCACCTTGGTAGGAGGGGTCACTATGAGTCGGGTCTGACTCCACAGCACATAACAACAACAAAAACAACAAACATGTGAAGAGATGCTATTGATCATTAGCCTTTCCCAAACCAAACCCACTGCCATCAAACAGATTCCAGCCCATGGCATCCCCATGAGTGCAGAGTAGAATTGCTCCACAGGGTTTTCAACTCTGTGACCTTTCAGAAGCAGATTGCTTGGCTTGTCTCTGACCACCTCTGGGTGGTTTTGAATCACCAACCTTTCTGCTAGTAGTCAAATGCTTAACCATTTGTGCTGCCCAGGTTGCCTGGTATTTGTTGATGTTCGGTAAATATTGTTAAAAATAACATTAAGTGAAAATAACAGTTTTGCTCCTAAATGGTCATCAAATCACCTTGAGAAGCAGCACTACATCATTATTACAAATCAGTGCTGATTGTGAAATCATTCGAGCAGTATGCTGTCAACAAAGACTTAGGTTAAACCAAAACCAAACCCACTGCCATTGAATTGAGTCCAACTCATAGCGACCCCCACTGGGTTTCTAAAGTGGTAAATCTTTATGGAAGTAGATTGCCCTCTCCTCCTTTCATAGAGTGGCTGATAGGTCTGAACCACCAACCTTCTGGTTTGCAGTCAAATGCCTTAGACACTGCACCTCCATCAATAAATCCAAAGTGCCCCACTGTGTCAGTCTTCTACCCAAAGACTGCCCATTGTGGCACATTGGCAGGGCACAACCTCTGACCCAGAAGTCAGGCCCCAGAAGCAGCCAAGTCCTTAGGACAGAGGAGCTTTCCATATAACAATATAACCAGCTGCTGTCTAGTACATTTCAACTCACGGTAACCCAGTGTGTCAGAGTAAAACTGTGTTCTACAGGGTTCTCAATGGGCAATTTTTCAGAAGCAAATCTCCAGGTCTTTTTTCTGAGATACCTCTGGGTAGACTCCTGCCTTAACCATTTGCATCACCCAGAGACTCCTCCACAAAACAGTAAGGAGCGTGCATTCAGACAAACACTTATAAAACCCAAACACCTACTATTTTGCATGTGGCTTCAGGTGATTCCATGCAGATACGAAGTTTGCAGTGCAGATAGACAATAGAATTGTTGATGAAGGAAAAGATCTTCAGCTTAAACTGAGCCTTGTTGGAATCCCCATTCTCAATCACACTGGTGTAAGTATTGGGAATGGGGCAGCTGCAAAGAGAGGAGAGTGGACTCATTAATTATAAACTGGGCCTCCTGTCCTTGGTGAATTTACTCATTGCTCCATCTCACTGCACATAAAAGTATTCTCTCAATGGCTCTATGAGACCCAGAAAAGACAGGCTATTCTAACAATTCCCAAGAGGTGGGTATCTCCTGTGGGACATGACTCCAAATCCCAGGTCCATCTCAGTGTCTGCCTGGAAATTCTGAAGTCCCCATACAGGGAGCACATCAGGGGAGACAGGGGTGCCTGGTGTCAACCTGTGCCCTACCTGTTGTTAATGAAGCCAAACATCACTGGATCCCTGGCATTGCTTGATGGTGTTGCCCAGCATTCTGTCAGGACCACCTTGAGATCACTTTTTTGTCTATAGAGCCCCACTTCAATCTTGATGTCATCACTGGCAGACACACTATAATTTTGAGGTATAGGAGAATCTCCAATAAATAACTGCATTTCAGTGACAAAATTTCCAGCTCCATGAAGGTCCTCAATGATGGTATAAACCCTATAAGAGGAAGTGATTTTCAGGACTTTCATTTATGTTACTCCCCCTTTCTCATTCCTCCTCCAAATAGTAACCCCAGAGTGGGGAAAGGAAAAAAAAACAAAGTTGTCATCGAGTCAATTCCGACTCACAGAGACTCTGTCAGTAGATGACAGAGTAGATCTGTGCTCCACAGGGTTTTCAAAGGCTTATTTTTCAGAAGCAGGTTGTCAGTCTTTTCTTCTGAGGCACCTTTGGGTGGACTAGAAACCCCAAAGTTTCAGTTAGCAGCCAAATGTGTTAACTATCTGCACCACCCAGGGCCTTCAACTCCAAAGAAAGCCCTCAAACTGTTGAAACCATAAAGAAACACAAAGTGAAGGTGTGAAGGAGGAGCCAACCTATGGAGAGGAGGCAGGGTCAGCCCTCCCTGGAACTAAGGAATTACCACTCACCCCCACTTCGGGGTATACCCCGAGGATGTCAGGAGGTCATTCCGGAAGGCGCAGTGGATGGGACTCAGGATCTTCAGGTAGTGGATGATGCCTTCTGGGGACAGGTCATTGCGCAGCATGGTCCTCACCACTGTGTTCGTCAAGTTCTGAACACAGAGGGCAGTGTGAGCAAGCACCTGGGGCCCAGGAAGCTACCCTAACATGCCTAAGACCATGGCTCTGGGTATGGAAGAGGTTTCTTTTTTAAAGCTTGTTCCCCAAAGTTTAAAAATTCCGATGATTTTTTTTTCTAACATAAATCACCAAAGAGAGCACATGGTTTTCAATCTCTGCTTTGAATTATTTCTTATTTATCAAAGGGAGACAAAAGCTGGTAACTGTTCCTATCTTATGGGTAGAATTGTGTCACCAAAAAAGATATATTGAATTCCTAACCTCCATACCCCACTACTCATCTGTCAGTTAGTCATCCTGTGGTGGCTTGCATGTTGCTGTGAGTCTGGAGGCTACTATGCCACTGGTATTTCAAATGCCAGCAGGGTCACCCATGTTGGACAGGTTTCAGCAAAGCTTCCAGGTTAAGATAGACTTGGGAGAAGGAAGGGGACATCCACTTCTCAAAGAATTGGCCAGTGAAAACCTTATGAATAGCAGTGAGACACTCTCTGATACATTACTGGAAAACTTTATGAATAGTCCTGCAACATCGTCTGATACAGTGTTGGAAGATGAACCCTCAGGTCGGAAGGCACTCGAAATGTGAATGGGGAAAAGCTGCCTCATCCAAGTAGAGTCAGACTTAATGACAAGGATAGAGTAAAGCTTTTGGGACCTCCATTTACTGATGGGACATGACTCAAAATGGGAGAACAGCTGCAAACATCCATTAATAATCAGAATGTGAAATGTATGAACTATGAATGTAGGAAAACTGGAAGTTGTCAAAAATGAAATGGAACATGTAAAGATCGATATCCTAGGCATAAGTGAGTTGAAATGGACTGTTTTGGGCCATTCTGAATCAGACAACTATATGATCTACTATGCCAGGAATGACCAATTGAAGAGGAATGGCATGTCATTCATTGTCACAAAGAATGTGTCAAGATCTATCCTGAAGTACAATGCTGTCAGTGATAGGATAATATCCATACACCTACAAGGAAGACCAGTTAATACTACTATTTATGCACCAACCACTAAAGCCTAAGAAGAAAATTTTGAAGATTTTTATGAACTTCTGCAGTCTGAAACTGACCAAACATGCAATCAAGATGTATGGATTATTACTGGTGATTGGAATGCAAAAGTTGAAAATAAAGAAGAATCACTGGCAGTTGGAAAATATGGTCTTAGTAATAGAAATGATGCTGGAGATCACATGACAGAGACTTGCAAGATCATTGAGTTATTCATTGCAAATACCTTTTTTTCAACAACATAAATGGCAGCTGTACACATGGACCTTGCCAGAGGGGACACACAGGAATCAGATTGACTACATCTATGGAAAGAGGTGATGGAGAAACTCAGTACCTTCAGGCAAAACAAGGCCAGGAGATGAGTGTGGAACAAACCATCAACTGCTCATATGCAAGCTCAAGTTCAAGATGAAGATAATTTTAAACAGTCAACTAGAGGCAAAATATGACCTTGATTATATCCCCCCTGAATTTAGAGACCATCTGAAGAATACATTTGATGCACTGAATACCAATGACCAAAAATCAGAGGAATTGTGGGATGACATCCACATCATCCATGAAGAAAGCAAAAGGTCATAAAAAGACAGGAAAGAAGGAAAAGACCAAAATGGATGTCAGAAGATTCTCTGAAACTTGCCCTTTAATGGAGAGTAGCTAAAGCAAATGGAAGAAATTACAAGATAAAAGAGCTAAACAGATTTCAGAGAGCAGCTTGAGAAGACAAAGTCAATTATTATAAAGAAATGTGCAGAGACCTAGAGTTAGAAAACCAAAAGGGAAGAACATGCTTGGAATTTTTTAAGTGGAAAGAACTGAGGAAAAAATTCAAGGCTTGAGTTGAATTGAAAGATTCTAAGGGCAAAATATTGAATGATGCAGGAAGCATCCAAAGAAAATGGAAGGAATATATGGACTCACTGTACAAAAAAGAACTGGTCAATGTTCATCTATTTCAGGACGTGGCATATGATCAAAAAGGAAGTAGTCAAAGCTGCACTGAAGAAATTGGTGAAAAAACAAGGCTACAGGAATTGATGGAATACCCATTGACATGTTTCAACAAATGGATGCCACGCTGAAAGCACTTGTTCATCTACGCCAAGAAATTTGGAAGACAGATACCTGGCCAACTGACTGGAAAAGATCCATATTTGTAACCATTCCAAAGAAAGGTGATCTAACAGAATGGAAATTATCAAACAATATCATTAATATCATATGCAAGTAAAATTTTGCTGAAGATAATTCAAAAATGATTGCAGCAGTATATGGAAAGGGATCTTCCAGAAATACAAGGTGGATTTAGAAGAAGATGTGAAACCAAGGATATCATTGTTGATGTCAGACAGATCTTGGCTGAAAGCAAAGAATACCAGAAAGATGTTTACTTGTACTTTTTTGACTATGCAAAGCATTTGACTGTGTGGATCATAACAAATTATGGATAACAATGAGAAGAATGGGAATTCCAGAACACTTAATTGTGCTCATGAAGAACCTGTACATAGACCAGGAGGTTGTTGTTTGAACAGAACAAGGGGATACTGCATGGTTTAAAATAAGGAAAGGAGTGTGTCAGAGTTGTATCCTTTCACCATACTTATTCAATCTGTATGCTGAGCAAATAATCTAAGAAGCTGGACTACATGAAGAAGAACTCAGTCCCAGGATTGGAGGAAGACTTATTAACAACCTGTGATATGCAGAAGACACAACCTTGCTCGCTGAAAGTGAAGATGACTTGAAGTAGTTACTGATGAAAATCAAAGACTATAGTCTGCAGTGTGGATTATACCTCAACATAGAGAAAATAAAAATCCTCACAACTAGACCAATAAGCAACATCACGATAAATGGAGAAAAGATTGAAGTTGTCAAAAATCTCATATTACTTGGATTCACAATCAATACCAATGGAAGCAGCACTCAAGAAATCAGATATTGTATTGTACTGGGAAAATATGCCATAAAAGACCTCTTTAAAGCACTGAAGAGCAAAGATTTCTCTTTGAAAACTAAGGTGTGGCTACTCCAAGCCATGGTGTTTTCAATAGCCTCATATGTGCAAGCTGGACAGCGAATAAGGAAGACCAAAGAAAAACGGATGCTTTTGAGTTTTGGCATTGGAGAATACTGAAAGTACCATGGCCTGCCAGAAGAATGAACAAGTCTGTCCTGGAAGAAGTGTAGCTGGAATGTTCCTTGGAAGCAAGAATGTCTAGACTTTGTTGTTTGTTTGGTTGTGTTGTCAGAAGGGACCATTCCCTGGAGAAGGATATCATGCTTGGCAAAGTGGAGGGTCAGCGAAAAAAAGGAAGACCCTCAGGGAGATTGACACAGTGGCTGCAATGATAGGCTCAGGTATAGAAAGGATTGTGAGGATGGCACATGACCAGTCAGCGTCTCATTCTACTGTACATGGAGTTGCTGTGAGTTGGAGCTGACTCAACAGCACCTAACAACAACAACAATAACAATCTCTGTACTTGTAAATGTGATCTTGTTTGGAAATCTTTCTTTGAAGATATTATCAGTTAACATGAGGTTATACTGGAGTAGGTATGTCTTAATCTCCACCGAGTGGTGTCTTATTAAGAGGAGAACAGGCATGGAGATGTAGTCACATAGGAAGAGACACCTTGTGAAGAAGCAACTAAAAGCTGAGAAACAGCTAGGGCCACAAGTAGCTGGAAGAAACAAGAAAGGAACCTTCCCTAGAGCCAACCGAGAGAACATGGCCCAGCTGATGCCTTGAATTCAGACTCTCAGCCTTCAGAACTTTGAAACAATACATTTCTATTCTGTAAACTACCCCTTCATGGTATTTGTTATGATACCATATTTCATTGCATTTGTACTAATAAGTCTTAGGAGGACTCTTAGTTTGACAAATGTCAAAAACATAAAGAACTTTTATGGATTCTGAGAGCTTGGATATAAGCCATAGAAGAAAAATCCCCTTCGCTTTGAATGTGCCCTGAACCCTCTTGTTATTACTTGCCATGGAGTCAGACCCTGACTCATGACAACTATGCACAACAGAACATAATGCTGCTTGTTCCTGTTCCATCCTCATGATCAGTTGTAGATGGGACCATTGTGATCCATAGGATTTACATTGGCTGATTTTCCAAAGTAGATGTCCAGGTCTTTCTTCCTCATCTGTCTCAGTCTAGAAGCTCTGCTGAAACCTGTTCAGCATCATAGCAACACACAAGCCTCTACTGACAGACAGCTGGCTGTTGCATATGAAGTGCATTGACTGGGATTTGAACATGAGTCTTCTGCATGAAGGCAAGAATTCTATCACTGAGTCCAACTGAATTTCACTGCCAAACCAAGTGTTGTCTAGCTCAGAACAAGAAAATGAAAGGGCACCATTTGCCCAGCATCTGTTTCTGCTTGTCTATCCTTCTCCTCCACCATCAGTACCTGAAGGAGTTTCTGACTCACAGTTGGGAACTGCTTGGGTGTGTTGATTATCAAGCACCCTGAACACATTGAGCAGAAACTGCCATCTTATTTTTAGCACCTGAATTCATGTTCTACAAAGTCTGCTTGAGTCACTGCTACAATGTGGACCCAGCTGAAGCTCTGTACACATCAACCCTTTTATGTATGCCTGCAGCTCATACATGCAGCTGCCAAAAAGCTGCTGTGCCACCTGCTTATGGTTGCTCATGTCCCTCTCAAAATAGCCCTTCAAGTGAGAGTTTTAAGAGTCTTCCAGAAATCACAGCAAACCCTGTATTTTTCAGGTTATATAAGTTTGAGGGCTGTGAGTGGGGTGAGCAATGGCTTGGGATTACCGAAAACATCCTGGTGGCCCTTCACTCCGAGGGACCCATCTCTGTTGGTCTGAGCCAACCCCTCCCAGAAGGTGAAGTCACACTCAACTGAAGTGAGCCTGTGCACATAGCACAGGTGCATGGCTCTGCAGAGACCCAAACACTGTAAAGTTTCTCTGTCAACTCTCTAGACCACCCACAGCCCACTTCCTGTCACCAGACCACACCTGAAAGTTGTCTTTTCATCCTCAGCTGCCATGCTGGGTGTCTCCCCAAGCCCCCCATCTCCATCCCTTCTGGCCTCTGCAGCCTCCCTGCCTCCACACTTCATGATGGGCTTCTTACTCAGCCTCAGAGTCAGAGTCTAAGCCTCCTGATCCAGACATCCACCTATTCCTACTCTTCCAGCCCAGTCCCACGTTTAGGGCCACCTGTCCCTGGTGGGAATATGTCCAGGACTCTAACCAGATGACTGGTGCCTGCACATGGAGTGTCTGAGGGTCACTCACAATCCTCGTACAACATCCAGCTCCCTCAGGAGACAGCCGTGGGGAAGTCAGGTCTCTGTTCTCAGAGGCAAGACTGACCTTGACCTTGACCCCTGTAGACCTTGCTGAGCCCCCACATCTTATGGGTTAAACACAGATACCTGCCCATGGGGTTGTTAGAGAACTAAACACCATCATGCACGGAGATCACCCAGACCACGATGGGCTCACAGAGAGCTCAGGGATTGGTATCCCACCCATCCCTTTTAGGAATTGATTTCCCAGGGATAGAAGTCCAGTGCCCTGATTCCTGGCCAGTGGCCAGACGCTCTTCTCTCTTGTCCTGCTTCTCTGATATGGATAACCTTCCTGTCCCCTGCTGGGATAGACCCTCCCCACATTCTCACTATTAATGCTGGACCCCACGTCCCACCCACTTGGGAGAGTCCCCTTCAATTTTGCATTTGACTCCTCGGAAGGTTGGGCAATCTACTTCCATAGTGATACCGCCTCAGAAACCCAAGGAGGGGTCACTATGAGTCGGATCTGACTTGATGGCAGTGAGTTTTGGTTTTTTTTTTTTGTTAACCAGAAGGTTGGTAGCTCAAATCCACCAGCCACTTTGCAGAAGGAAGACTGGGCTATCTGCTTCCGTAAAGATTTAACACCTAGGAAACTCAAAGGCAGTCACTATGAGTTGGAATCAACTTGATGCAGTGAATTTGGTTTTTTGAGTGAGAGTCCAGCTCCAGGGTCCAGTGCCCCCATCTGGCCTGAACCATGTGGACGCCAGCTGTGTCTGAACTCCCCTACCTGGCTTTCCAGTCTCCCTTATCTACCTGCTGCCAGCATGTCCCCTGGCTACAGTCATGACCCTTCCATTTGCCCTCTGTTTAGGCTATCCTTCATGGAGCCTCAATTCCCAGGAGGCTTCCTACTGGAAGCCAGCATAGCCTACCATGTGACTCAATGACCCTCCATGAAGCTTCCTCACCAGAAAGTAAACCCCAGTTGCCCAACGACCCCTCCACACCTCTTTGCACCAGACTATGCATCCTGGCTGCCTGCCAATGAGCCCCAAAATCCCACACTGAGTCAGTCCCACCTGTGTAACTCTATCACTGTATCTCTGAGTCCTATTTTAGGGGCACACATTTCTCCAGGACAGTTACACCAGGGCTCCTTCTATCTCCCTAGTGCCCAGTACTAGGCTGAACTCAGGAAGGTGCTGGGACCATCCACTGTGACATAAAGATGCTTTTTGAAGACGTGAGACCTGGAGCTACCAGCCCACCCCACCAGGGGTCTGCCAGGCAGTGGTTCTCATAGTGAGGAAAGTCACCTGAGAGTGCGAGTGCCCAGAGCCCCTGGGTCAGAAGCTCAGGGGTTAGTTCTCTGCACATTGGATTGAGAACACTGCCAGGCAAGGGAAACCCCACTTTCCTAGTAGTCAACAAAAGCTTTGAATAAAAAGAATAAGACACAGCCCTCTGGCTAGGCCATGCTAAATAATGCCACCCTACATTCCCACCAATATACACATGCACACATATACAAGCCATACTTGCACACACATACATATACATTCATTCACATATAAATGCAGCCATACATACATACATACTCACACACATACACTTGCACACATTTATATACCCATATAAACTGAAAAACCAAACTCACTGCCATTGAGTCCATTCAGACTCATAGTCCCCTCTTGGGTTTCTGAGGTGGTAAATCTTTATGGAAGTAGATTGCCCAGTCTTCATCCCACAGAATGGCTGGTGGGTTTGAACTACCAACCTTCTGGTTAGTAGTCAAATGCCTTAGGTACTACATACACCACCAGAGCTCCTTTCATATACCCATACAGACATACATTTATATACTTTCACATACATACAAGCACACTCATACATAGATACACCTATGCACATATATACACACATTCACATACCCATATCCACATACATTCACACATACACACACACACACATACACAAACACACAGCCTTCAGCTATCCTGTCTCTTCCCTATCCCACTGGTTATCAATCATGCCTGCTCATTCAGTCACTCAGCAGGATGTACAAACCCCCTGCTGTGGCAGAGGGCACAGGCATGCAGCTCCTGCCTTGCTCTACTGTGCAGCCTGATGCCAGCTGAGATCTTAGCCCTGTCCTAATCCCTTTGCTGGAGCCCCTCCCCAAGAGACAGAGACCTTAGGGGTACAGGGTCTTTCCAGCCCCCAGGACAAATAGGAACCCTCTCATGAACCCTGTGAGCCCCGCACACCCACATTCCCGGCCCTCACACTCTGCAAAGTAGTGCCGCACTCGCTCCAACCGGCCACCAGGAGCACATGAGTGCTGTTGCTGCTGCTCACGTTGCAGGCCGGCTGGCCCAGGTACAAAGACGACTCAGGGATGGACTCCTGCTGCAGGAAGCGCTTCTCGATGGCAATGGCCACCTTCTCAATCTCACAGAGCACCCTGACTGCCTCTGTAAGGTTCATTCGTGGGGGTGGGCCCTGTCCAGTGGAGTTTGTGCCTTGCTCGAGAAGATCCCAGGTTCCTGGAGAGGCAGGAGGCTGCTCTGGGTCAAGGGCCAGAGAGGACCCAGAAGCCCAAGTTGTATTGCCAGGAGAGTTACCTGCAAGGCACACAAAGATAAAGACAGAGTGAGGGTATGTGCTTTGGATCAGCCACATGAGCCCAATCTGTGGGCTGGAGGGTGAGTAGCAGATAGGGACCCACTCTGCACCCTGCAATGGCCCAGACCAGGAATTGTACATTCAAGCCACAATCATGTGCACACCCGTACACACACACATTTCACATTTCCACAGCCAACATACCTGGCTGGGCTACTCAGCAGGCACCATAGGTCACTGCAGGCCAAAGAACCAAAGGATCTGTGATGGTTAATTTAATGTGTCAACATGGCTGGACCATATGGTTCCTGGCTGTTTGGCCAAACACTAATCTAGTTGCTGTTATGGAGAATTATATATGTGCTGCTACTTAACCATGTTGTGAAATCTGCTTTGGTAGACCAGATAGACTTCCATAATGCAACTATATTTTATATCTATTATAATCATTAATTAGGAGCTCTGGTAGCATAGTGCCTAAGGCACTTGACTGCTTACCAGAAGGCTGGCGGTTCAAACCCACCAGCACTCCTCAGAAGGAAGGTTGGGCAATCCTACTTCCGTAGTGATACTGCCTCGGAAACCCAAGGAGGGGTTGCTATGAGTCGGGCCGACTCGATGGCAAACAACAACAACAACAACAACATAATCATTAATTATAATGCAACCTAACGTAACAAAATCAATCAATTAGTGGAAAACGGAACTGCCTAGGGTGTGTTCTACCTCCTGACTATAAATAGATATTTTGGGGAAGACACACACCTTGTGAGAATCCTCCATAAGGCAAGGAATAAAGGAACACCCAACACTAGTGAAAAGGAAGGAATCAGTGTGTCCAAGACCCTGATTTGGACTTTTATCCTCCAGAACTGTAAGAAAATAAGTATCTGTTCTGTACAAGCACCCATTTGTGCTATTTGTATCACCACAACACCAGGAAACTAAGGCAGCTGCCCCAAGCCCCTCGGCCTCTCCCAGCCTGGCTCTGGCTGTGCTAAGCGAGTGGGCTTAAGGAAGGCATCTAACCTCAGAGGCCTGAGTTGAATCATTAGGGTTGGGCCAATCACATCTACTCTCAGAATTCTGGGAGCCTCATTCCTGCCCCTGCTTCCTTCTTGTCCCAGAGGTCTTCAAAGGCCAGAAGAACAATAAGGAGGTCTGTGCGGTTGTGTGATGCATCCACAAATTCTCAGAGTGTCTCTGAGGCAGACTGGTCTCTGGCTGGCCTCATCCATGCCTTCCTTTCTCTCTGGATAGACCTCTGTTGTACAAGTAAGCCAAAGACAGCCACTGTGTATTGGCCTCAGGCTGTTTAGTTCTTCATAGTGAGTTGGGCTCCCTCCTTAACCCAAAAGGCCTGCTGGTGTCACACCAAATTTTTCATGTTCAATTGCTTTCAAAATGGCCTGTATAAGCACATTTTCAGCCATTTAGATACTGCCTCCTTTGCATATCCCATGAAACTGTGCCTAACAACATAGATAAGAGAAACCCTATAGTTATAAGAACCCCAAGTTGCTTCACCTCTTGGCCCAGAGACCACCCATGTTGCTACTGAGAGATATTACCTAGACATGTAACCCTCCCTCCTTGGAGGTTCTCTTGCGCTCTTCCTCTTCTGGTGACCCCCCCCCCAAGGTCATGCCTTTATAAGATCTCTTCTGCTTGGAATTGCCCCCAACATGCAGCACCTATCAATGTATCAGCCCCAATGTGCCAACATGGCTGGGTCATATGGTTCCTGGCTGTTTAGCATACCTTATTATGCAACATCTCAGAGTTATATCTTTCATCTTGACTAGCCCCCAAATCCCTCAAACTCACTACAACCTCACCAAATAACCTGGCTCTTCACCTAGTTCACCTGTCTCAGGGTAAAGTTCAAACTGCTATCATGGCACTTGCATCCTCATCTGGCCTTGCTCCATCTCTCCCACCAGGCTACTCTCCACTCTCTCCCACCCTCTCCTCCAGGGACCCACATCCAGCCAGCCTATCCTGCATGTCTGGAACTTCCTCACCTTCACAGCTTTGTTCTCACTATTCCATCCTCATGCCCAGTTCAGCCCTCTCTGTTAGGTGCTCTCTTAGCTATCCTTTAAGACCAGGTTGAAGACACTTCTTCCAGGAAGCTTTTCCTGAACACATTTATTGAACTGAAAAAACTTGCACTCCTCAGTACGTCCTCTGCCTCCCTCAAGCTGAGCACATTTTGTATTCCCCCTAACACCAGATTTACTTATACAAATGTTGTCTCCCTTTACTGGACCCTAGAGGGTAAGGGTCAGCTCGGGGTCAATACAGAATCTCCTAAAAGTCCCCAAATCACCTAAGACCATGCTGAATGGGAAAATTGCTGAGTGCAGTGAGTAGAGTAGATATGATTCCTATGTGTGGTTTGTCACACAAATTTTACAAGATTAACATTTACCATTCAAGCATTCACAGCCTCAACCTGCTAAATTTAAGTACACATTTTCTCATCATGGCACACCAGAACTAGGACTTGGAGCTATAATGCATGACCCCAAAAAATACATGTCAACTTGGCTGGGCCATGATTCTCAATGGTTCAGCAGTTATGTAATGATGTAACTTGTTGATTATATAATAATGTAATCATTCCCTATATGATGTGATCTAATGTGATCAGCCAATCAGTTGTTAGGGGATTAGGGTAGAAAGCAACACCCTTACTCAGGTCACAGTCCTGATCCAATGTACAAGGAGTTTCCCTGGGGTCTGGCCTGCATCACCTTTTATCTTACAAGAGATAAAAGGAGAGAGAACCAAAGCAGGCAGAGAAGGAAGGACCTATTACCACCAAAAAAGAAGTGCCATGAGCAGAGTGTATCCTTTGGACCTGGGATGTCTGTATTGAGATCCTCCTAGACCCAGGGGAAAAGTAATGCCACAATATATGGAGATCTCCAAGGAATTCCGGGGCCACAGATGTTGAAAAGAGAAAAGGACCTTCCTCCAAAGCCAACAGAGAATGAGCCTTCCCCTAGAGCATATGCTCTGAATCTGGACTTCTAGCCTCCTAGACTGTGAGAAGATAAATTTCTGTTTGTAAAGCCATCCACTTGTGGTATTTCTGTCATAGCAGCACTAGAAAACTAAGACAGAACATCACCCACAAGGCTGAAGATACATGCAAGAATGTGAAGGGATATGCACACATATGCATATATATATAAATATGCATGAATACATACACAATTAAGAAACTTGCCCAAGGCATAAAAATAGACTGACCTTATTTGGTAAAGAAGTACTTTACAAATGAATGCCATTAAAGGAACAGATTATTCAGGCAGTTTTCCAGGACAAGGTTGATGAGAACTTTACCTCCACAGTGTCTCCCAGGATACTCCACCCAGATGTCAGGAGTCTGTCCTGTGCAGCTGCATGTGAAAGACCCAAGTGTGTTATGACATGAGGCCCCTGGCACACAGTCGTCCTCTCCTCTTTCACACTCATCATAATCTGCATGACATTTAGAAAACATTACAGAAAAACATCACTGCAGGCATGAGGGTCCTTAGAGTATGAGATGCATATTCTCAGTTCTTTATATACATCCTTGTGGGGAAAGTACATCTCAGGGAGTGTGGTAATTAAGGTTGTATGTCAACTTGGCTGGGCCTGGTTGAGTGGCTGGGCAGTTGGATGTAGTTATTCCCTATGGTGAGACTGGTAATTAACTTCATGATGGAATCTACTCAAGCTTTAGGAATGTGGGCTGCTTCCAGTATATAAGAAGCAACTTTGAGGAAGGTCTCCAGCTAATGGCATGCTTGAACCCTGCTTGTAGTTGTGTTGATGTTCAGCAGCCTGCCGTGCTCTGCTGACCTTGGAACTTTCAATGGACTTGAATTAATGGCGTGTCATGTGGTTTGGTAACATCAGGATTGTGCCTTTTTACTTGTAAACCTTGAGCTTGTCAGCCTCAGCAGCAAGCAGCTGTCTGAGTGAAGAAAAGCCTCTAATTTCAGTGGGCTGGGAGCAGAAGGTAGAGCTGAAGCCCAGGTTCGAGGGGCTTTCACCCAGTCCCTAGAGCCTGGCACTTTGAATTTGGACTTCCAGCCTCCAAAATTGTAAGGGAATAAACTCCTGGTTATTCAAGCCATCTCATTTGTGGTATATTCCTGTCAGAGCAGCACTAGGTAACCAAAACAAGGGAACAAAGATCAGAATCACTGAATTAGATCAAACCATAGTAAAGACTATGGGTTCTGGAGATATTGAGGGGAAGGGTAGCACCCTGATTTTACAATGGTGGTGAAGGTGAGTCAGTGAGAGGAAGTCTATAGAAGCTGCTCCTACCATAGGAACTCTGGAGGGAGGACTCCTGGTCTCGGGCTGGAAGTGAACATGTGGCAAAGTGGGATCATCAACTAGGAGATGAGCAGCGACTTTCCCAGCCCACAGACTCAGGACAAGGGACCCAAACAGCAAGACCTACTCAAACAGAAGTTCCTCACGAAAATTGCCTTGCTTTTCATCTTTATTCTCAGCTAGCTAGCTTATCAATAGCAATGCAGTTTTATTGCAAAAATGGATAAAAACCAGAAAAGCAGAGCAAAGCATATAAAATTCATCCCTAAGGCCACCACCCAACATAACAGTGCTCACATGTTGATGTATTTCCTTCTAGTAGTTTAAAATATAGATTACAACATCGCTAAGAATATGTTTTAAACACAAATGTGAATCCTGCATCTCCCCTTATCCTTGTATCAGCAATATTTTCTGTCTCAACAAACCTCATTTTTCATAATTGTATAATAGTTCATGGTAGGGAGATACCATAATTTACTAATGTCTTCCCCCAAGTCTGTGGGGTACAAATAGCTAATGTGCTTGTCAGGTAAATGAAAAGATGGAAGCTCAAGTCCACCTAGAAATGCCTCTAAAGAAAGGCCTGCTGACCTGCTTTTGAAAGATCAGCCATTGAAAACCCTGTGGAGCACAATTCTATCCTGAAACAGACAAGTTTGCCATGAATTGGAGTTGACTTGAGGACACGACTATCACAGGACTATTGGTTATTTCCATTTCTTTTGCTTTTGTAGTAACACTGAAAATGTTTTGCATATAAACTATGATCCACTTGGAGATCTGTTTCCATAATAAAAAGTCCTAGATCTTTGTTGGTCATCTGCGTTTCTTCTTTTATTGTCTACTTAAGTCTTTTGCACATTAATTTCTCAGGTGTTTAGTATTTTATTATCAATTTGTATAATCTCTCCATATATTTAGGAGATTAATCCTTCTTTAAATTCTGAAAGTTTTTTTTTGGGGGTGGTGAGGATTCTTGCGTGCCTTAAAATAGTGCTTTTTAAATTCAATATAAAAGATTTATATTCACGTAGTCAAATATTTCAGCCTTTGCTTTGTGGTGGTGTTTTTCCTGCTTTTAAACTTGAAAAATCTTCCTCATTTCAAAAAAAATAGAAAAATATTAATCTATTATTTTCTTCTTTTTTTTCCACATAGGTAAATATAAGCCATTTGCCATTTATTTTAAAGTATGAGATGAGAAAAGAATCTAAATTGCCTTTTGCTCCTGCTTTTCTTTTCAATTGTTTTTATTAGGATCTCCTCAGAAACTGTGCTTGTGAGGAAGCCTAGCTGCAGAGAGGGGCATGTGTGTCCTCAGCCCATTGAAACAGGTGACAATGGAGGGCTGGGAGTGGGGTTCAGCTTACACAGAAAGGAGCAGCACCCTGGGGAATCTTTGCAGGTCCATCCAAAAATGTCTTGAACTCTTAAATCTTAAATAATCAATCACAGTATCAATGACAGAGACCAGGAGGGCCTTATACATTCATCTAATTCAGGAGAAAATTCACAAAATGAGACACATGAGAATAGCAATTTTCAAAAACAAAGGGATGGTGGTCCATCCATACCGTAGAACACAACCTACCTACTGCCATCAAGTCAATTCTGACTCATAGCGACCCTATCTATAGGACAGAGTAGAACTACCCCATAGGGTTTCCAAGGCTATAAATCTTAACAGAAGCAGACTGCCTCTTCTTTCTCCCATGGACAGCTGGTGGGTTCAAACCACTGATCTTTTAGTTAGCTGCCAAATACGTTAACCACTACACCACTGAGCTTTTCTGTGGAATACTACTCAGCAATAAAAAGTATTGATACATACAACAACTTCTATAGGCCCCAAGGGAATTATGCTCAGTGAAAAAAAAAAAGTCAATTTCAAAAGGAGACATACTCTATGATCCCATTTATATAATATTCTTGAAATGAATTTATATATATAATATATATATATATATATATATATTAGAGATGGAGAAAAGATTTGTGATTACCAGTGTTGGGGAAGGGTGAAAGAGGGTGGTTGTAGCTTTATATAAAGGAGTAGCAGGAGGGAACCTCATGGTAGAACACTTTCATATCTTGACTGTGGTGGTTACACCAATCTACACATGATAAAATTGCATAGAACTACCCCCACACACAAGGAGCTCTGGTCACTCAAATGGTTAAGCATGTGGCTGCTAACTGAAAGGTTTATGGTTCAAACCCACTCAGTGGATCCACAGAAGAAAAGACCTGATGATCTGTTCCTATAAAGATTAGTCTAAAAAACTCTATGAAGCAGTTCTACTCTGTCACATGGGGTCTCTATGAGTCAGAATTGACTCAGTGGCAGCCAACAACACACATACACACACATGAACACATACAAGCACAACTAAGAGTACATGTAAATTAGTGAAATCTGAATCAGCTCCATGGATTGTATCAATGTCAGTTTTCTGGTTTTGACTTTGACTATTGTATGCAACATATTACCACAGGGAGAAACTGGGTGAAGGGTATATAGGACATCCCTGTGCACATTTTTTTTCTTCTTTGCCACTTCCTGTGTCTCTATAATTATTTCAAAATTAAAAGTTTTAAAATTTAATTATTTAACTTAAAAATGGAAAATGGGCATAGCTGGGCTTTCTTTCCTCTGGTCCCAGAACCCAGCTGAGGTCTCTGTGGGCACCCAGCCTTCCTTGTACCTTGGATGAAGGTATCGCCTGTAACAACCTCCAGCAGAGACATGTTCTGTAAGGCAGCCAGGAATGCATCTGACACCTCCTGGACATCCACGTCTGCGATGATCAGTAGGTTGAATGTCACCACAATGCTGCCATTGCTGATGCCAGTGACTTCCATCTTAATTCCACCCTCATCCATGAGCTGAAGCATGGGAGCTGGCAAGGCATTCCGCACCTTTAGAAGACAGACCATGTGAAGGGAGCTGCCCCCACCTCTGCGTTCCCTGGGGAAAAGGTAGAAGCCAAGGTCGATTTGGGATCCCATTCTTGCCTACTGTATCCCCTAGGCTGGCATAAATGCCTGAGTGTTTCTGTGACAGTGAGAAGAGTGCATCCCCATCATGACCAGTAAACAGTTACAGAAAGGTTTCCTTCAGCAAGTGAAGTATGAGACTAGGTGCAAAGACAGGGACCTTACCCTCAAGGCATATAACATGGTAAGGGGCTCACTATCCCATTTAGATTCTTCTACACTCAGCTCAAGGAGCCCTGGTGGAGCAGTGGTTCAAGCATTTGGCTGCTAACCAAAAGCTCGGCAGTTTGAACCCATCAGCCACTCAGCAGGAGAAAGATGAGGTAGTCTGATTCCATAAAGATTTACAGTCATGGAAACCCTATGGGGCAGTTCTACTCTGTCCTATAGGGTCACTATGATTCAGAATTGACTCAATGACAGTGGGTTTACTCTCAGCCTAGTCCCCAGGTAGTGCAAGTGGTTAATGCACTTGGCCATTAACTAAAATATTAGTGGTTTGAATCCACCCAGCGGTGTCTCAGAAGAAAGTCCTGGTGATTTACTTCCAAAAAATCAGCTATTGAAAACCCCATGGAGTACAGTTCTACTCTGACACATATGAGGTTTCCATGCGTTGGCGTCAATTTGACACAAACTGTTTCTCTTTTTATGTCTCAACTGAGAATCATGCAGGGCAGGGGGCTGAACAAATGGTCATGGGGAGAGAGACCACTGCCCTATCTTTTACTCCTGATGCTATAGAATATTTTCCTCTTTCACTTTTCTTCCCATATTTTCCAAAACTCTTTCCCTGTATTTCTAACATACCTATCTGAACAGGCTATTCCTGTCCCTAAAAGAATAGTGGATACACTTGTCATAATTTAACGATCTTATTTGCATAGTGAAAATCTCATAAATTTTACTTTTCCTCAGTCTGGGAATAGGAGTTTTAAGACCCAGAATACAGTGAATTTAACAGCGCCACATAGTGGTAGAGTGCGTGTTAGCAGTGGTGGTGGCCACATGTCCTTTATTCTATAACTTTTTCTGTAACTTTGGATAGGACCATACACCAGACATTATATTATTTCTTTTTAGCATACCATGGTCAAAATGCCCAGAAAGACACAATCTTTGAATGAGTTTCAAATCTTTAATATAATTCAAATCTTTCATAGAAAAGCACAACCTCAAGTTTTGTCTTTGCAGAGGAAACCTGCATCCTCATTTGAACCATGTGAGGAACAGTGTTTTGAAACTTGAGTTCATAGATTCCTTCCCAGGCCTTAGGGTGGCCCAGAACAAGCATGAGCATGAGCATGAGCAAAGCTATGTCACCCACCAAAGGCTACAGACCTTGAGCTGCCTTCAGTTGGTGCCACACTGTGGCTGTATCATTACCAGCAAACAGTCAGCTCCTCTCTCTCTCTCTCTCTCTCACTTCCAGGCAAGGATCTGCCACAGCCTTGGTGTTATGCCACTTTTAGTTGGATTTCAAACAACTCTCAAGGCAACGTTCCAGGACCTTAACTAGAAGTGGTAAACAACAAGGTGATGCACTAACCCACTATCTCAACAAACTTGTTTTTAATGTCCTACATATATAAGTCACATGATTATTTGCTGTCCTGAAATTCTGTTAGTTGTTAGGTGCCATCAAGTCACCTCTGACTCATAGTGACCCTATGTACAACTGACTGAAACACTGCCTGGTCCTGCACCATCCTCACAAGCCTTAGTTTGGCTTGACCCCATCGTTGCAGCCACTGGGTCAACGTATCTCATAGAGAGTCTTCCCTTTTTCACTGACCCTCTACTTTACTAAGTGCCTAAAGCCAGGAACCCAG